AGCCATACATCGTCTAGAAACACTGCTTCCCTTAGTTTTTTCATCACCTAATCTCTGTTAACTTTCAATTAAATTACATCTACAAATTCAAAAACGTGTGAATTACTTAATTGCATCCATTTGTTTGATGATGAGAAAACCTGTTCGTCGTCACTTATTAAAAACCAATAAGCGACACCAATTTGGCAATTAATATACCCGTACGCTTTTTCACTCATTTTACGAGTAGATTAATGTTAGAAGGTGTAATTTATGTGTATGGAATAAGCTAACCTAATCTGTACTTCAAAATAATCTGAATTGATCTACGCTAATAGCAGCTGTCGCAATATACTCGTTAAGGTTGGATTAAAGCTACGAATTATGCTGAAATTGGCGAAAGAATCCATGATGTAACAAATGTTCTATTAGTTAACACTTTGTTAATGTACTGTTTCGAATGATTATGAATGTCATAAGTGTCACTCTACTCTACTCCTTATCCGATGGAAGAGAATAAAACTGGATTGCGGCAAGTACTTTTATAATATCCCTCCTATTCCTAAACTTGCACTATAATTCAAATTAACTTTCTGGTAAAAAAATCCACCTGACCCATTTATATTCCTCAGTTAAGATTACGAGTCATGCTGAAATTGGCGGAAGAATCCACTAGGCAACAAATATTCTATTAGTTACAATGTATTAATATACTGTTGTTGATCGTTACAACAAATACATCAGCAATTAATTAGCAAGGTATTCTGCAGCATATTTTAAAAAATTGACAAGGATAATGAGAAGAAAAGAGTGAAATAATAACTTCCCAAGAAAAAGAAAAATATGTTGCGAAAGATAAACGATTCTTGGTATGGTAATATAAAAGCTACGTGACAGGTCTAAATCATAACAGCAGTACTACATTTACCTCCTACATATGACAAATGAGAAAAGTTAATAAGGAAATGGAAATATTACAGTAACCAGTGATCCGATCCCATTTTCCCTTTTAAAAAGCAATACGAAATAAGTCAGGAACTTTTGTACTTAATGCTGTTAAAACCAGCAACTTCCAACTAGCCAATATTTTCTTTCTTTTTCAGCCTAAAAACGTGTCGGACTAGGTTTCATGATAAATATCCTTCATTGTATGGTATGGTTGTGTTAAAAATGATTACTAGCTTAGCTTTGATGGTTGAACTAAGCCCACTATATTTAATAGTGATATTAAAGCTCTTTGTATAATTAAGGACATTTGTATCTAATGATGTTCACAACTGGCCAGGAATTTCGGAAAATATGCGTCAGCTTAGTATTTCATATCATCGATTAGATTTACGCATTTAATATATTCAAGAACATTTTTCGGACTATACGTCTGGTACAAAAATACAAAAAAAAAGAAAAAAAGTCGGTTTGTTGGATGGAAAAACTCCCACAAATGCATCATTAGCTTCCTATGCTTTAAAATTTTTTACATAACATTAATGGTTCCCTTGCTATTTGTTTTAAATTCCATACATTAAAGCTAAATATATTCCGAAATTTAATCCGAAATTCCGTATTTTACGTATTACTACAAGAATAAAACATCTATCCATGATCTGATCACATCGATTTAAAGACCTATCTTAGCCACTTTGCTTCCCCCAAAGATAACATCAAAATCTAAATTCAATTATCAGCAAAATATTTGCTGCCAAAAATCTCCAACCATACTTTTATTTACTGTCACCTTCCTGTCACATACTCAAAAGTACAAATAAAAACGATTGCCATAAATGGAAAGAAACAACCGGCATACTTTCTTTGACCCATAAGAATGATCTGATCCTAGAATGGATGATGGTAAAATATTGCTCATATCCCAAATCCATTTGGGGTGGATGAGAGTCAATCAACCGCCCACATACCGTTCCATTCTTCGATCAGACGAGGGCAGACACTTATCTATACCGTAATCCTATCCATCCCACCAGACCAGAAGAAGAAAGACATCCCATATTGGATGACACCTTTAGCAAACAAACTATCAAAAATATCTGGAAAAATGCACGAAATGTGTTCGTTTGCACGTAATATATAAGGGAATGAGGAGAAGATTGTAAGAAAGTGAGGGAGGATTGAAAGGAAAGAAAGGGATAGATTTGCGTAAACGACCGGAAGAAGGCAGAAAAGAATGGGAGGGCGGGAGAGCGGGATGGGGGTTGCAGGCTTCTTCGAGGACAAAAAAAAAAAACATCGCACTGCATACCAACATGAATCACAGAAGGTCATTTTAACGTGTAAATATGATATTTAAGTATGTCTATGTATGTGATGTGTGTGTGTATGTATGTATGTATGTATGTGTGTGTATGTGCATATATATGTCTGTGTACGTGTATATACACATGATATATATATATATATAAGGTGTAGATATATAAAATGAGTGTACATAAACAGAAATCTAGCAATATTCATTAGAATTCACGGACGAGGATAATAACGAAAAATTTTTCCATGCTTACATGAAAAATGTTTTTCAGCACGCTTTTTCGAACGTACACTTTTACACGTTATATAATATTAACAAATTTATTATCATTAAACATCTTCCTCCTTCCCTTTTTATCACATCTCCGTATCAATCCATTCTTACGTGACTGATTATTTTTACGTTTAAGGTTTAATTTAATACTGAAGACAATTTAGAAACAATATTATCCTTCGTGGAATTTGATATGCCATACATATAACACGTTCCAAAATCATGATAACAAGTGATCAACATATAATGTTGTTGTCATTATCCTGATTGAATTTAAGTATCACAGGTAATAATCTTCGATACGATAATGGTATTGAAAAAATGCAACAGATGTTCTTAGCTCTTACTAATTTATCTAGTCAAACCGGAATTAGTCGATTAGTTAGCTGATCAAAGCGGGGTTAACTTGTAATTGGCAATATTTGTTAATGAAACAAAATTCTTATCATGTTAGCTCAAGAAAGTTTATCATAATTTTATTGCTTTCCTATTTATTATTGTTCAAATCTTCGAAATTGAGGAAGTCCTGGAGGACATTGATGACAATCGAATGGTATGAGTCATTTCATCTTCCTCCTGATATTGTTGCATATCTCTTGCTAATTTTAGTGCATTTGTGAAAATATTTCTGTATTATCAGTTAGCGGAGAAATTTACAATTGCTGAACGGTGAGTGTCCCATTGCATTGTTTCCCAGCTACAATTATCAACATGAATGGCTAAATGAGAAGGGAAAAAAGATGCGTGATACGATAAGCGACGCCGTCAGTGATTATCAATATCACTATCAGAAATGACGATCACTTCTACACATCACATATTCTATAGTTTCTTTTTAAAAATGCTCGAGCACCTCTAACAAATATAACAAAAAGAAGAAAAGTACACATTGATTTTAATCATTCTATCAAACTCACAAATATGCTTTCGATTTTTAATGATTTTATTATTGCAATTATAGAACCATAATTACTGATAGATCTGCGTACAATGGTCACTTTGGTATCGGTCAAGTTCAATACCATAATCCTTTGTGAAAAAAGCAGTCTAATTTATCTAACTGAAGTCATCTCTGTGATATAATACGTTGATTTGTTTAATTTAGATATTGCTATCTTACATAAATGTTAAAAATCTTGCTCGTGGATAGACATATGGTACTCTCATGAATAAATTATCTAAAGGATTAATTCACAACAAAGCTCAATCTCGACAATACCGACGAGAAATCAGGAAGAACTTGAATCTAAGGACTTGGATTTAACGAACAGGAATACGACAAACATCGTAAATTTTTCTGTTATAAATTGAAACTAAACAAGCCTGGATGTGTATGCAGAATTATTCAATATGCATGAGATGTATGTGTCTGTGTGAGTGGGTGTAAATGTTTCCATATGTATTGGACGACAGCATTTCGCAAAAAAAAGGACATATTAGTAGGAGGCATTCAACACCAAACACCAAAGGGCACGGGACCTTGTGAAATATTGCACATCGGGTTTCAGTTAAGGGTATTGATGATAAGCATGTCGGCAGCATCAATGATTATCTCTTACACTTGAGATTTTATTCCCAAATTATTTTCCATTAAGTTATCTCAGCGCACCACCTCACCTCCGCCCTGAACTATGGTAAATTATTGCGAAGAAAAAAATATTTTCCATCCAGTTACTTGACCGAATCATGGGAAATTATTTAAGTGAAAAGCACTGAATGCCTTACTGGAATTACTTATCACCGTCTAAGACATTATGTAATGGGAAGGATTGCTTTTTTTTCTTTGATACATATGTAAATTTAACCATTACAAGTATCAATCAAATACTATATTATATGCTTTGAAGAGATATGAAAGCGAATATAGGAATCTTTCACATTTTACTTTGTGGCCAATATCTACCGGTAGTAATAGGCCAAAGCAGACAAATGATCATTAACAAAATTATCCTATCTTAGCCAAAACAATGAAAAATAAAGAAGGCAAAATAAGGTGTAAAACAAAATAAAGTAAAATCAAATAAAGTAAATTAAATGCAAGCTCTGATGTTAATAATCTCTATAGAATTCGTGCAAAATCCTTTCAGTGGTTCTGAAATGGCCGATTTAAAGAAATGATATCAACAACGCATGGCTGAGGTAGTGCTGGAACAAAACTAATAATAGATTTCGTTATACACTTATACAATTCAATAAAATATAGAAATCCAATATTTTCATGTGCTACATGGAAAAGCAAAGAAAAAGATGGAAACTCATAAAGAGGAAGAAAGAATGCAAGCTAAGTTTATAGATTGAATGTCATCACTACTTAATGGAAGTAGGTTAAGCTTCAATTGCATTTCACTACACTGTTCTGTATATTCCAGCATATCAAGCCTGTTCTTCTTAAAAATAACTTTTGATAAGAATTCAGACAGAGATATTAACGCATCAAGTGGAGATTGCAAAATTACTCGTAACTTTGAGATCGTTTATACATGCAATATTTATGATACTAAGTATAATTCATAAATGTATATGAACAGAGAGATTACATATGGTTAGGACTCTACAATCAAACTAAAACGACACCAATCCGGCGTCGATCCATCTCCAGCCGTGTGATTCGCACTTTCACTGGGGAATTTACCTAAAAATTAGTAGGTCTTTGTAAAACAATAAACAAGACAAGAAAATTTCGTTAGTGATGAACCATAATTGATAGTTCCTGTGGCAGAAGATTGACAGTTTCGCAGTAAGCATATGGGAACGGCCTCCGGCGATCTAACTAAAGGATACATTAAATGGATAAGTTTGATGAACTGCATAGTGAACTTCTTTGTTTTCGATATGGAGTAGCGCCATTGCTGAGAAATCGGATTCTTTTAAGCAGTAGACGTTTCTGGATACGAGCAATTACGACCTTGTAATTAAATAGAAAACCAAAATCTGCGTGCAGGCGCAAGTAATCCAAATAATAAGGTCAGGCAAAATCCCGTAAACCAGACTATATCACTGAATAAACTTAAAGTCACGAAAAAATCAAATTAGTAAAAAGAAATTTTAACCTCGGGAACAACTGACAACAGAGTTGATGAATGCGCTAACGCATTGAAGCCCACCCCAATATCGATGAATATACCAAAATTAGCATGATTTCGAACAATGCCTTCCAAAATATCACCCACTTTCAGTGACTTCATTTCCACTACATTTGTCTTAAACATTCATCTTGAAACATTCAATTTCGTTATAAAAATAATTTGAATTTCATAAAATCAGAAGAAAATATGTGTAGCACATACCAAAAGGACTGGTGCATTCCTCCTTACAAATGGATTTGATAATAATTCCCATACAACAACCCATTCCGGACCCCGCTCCTTAATTCGTTGTTCGATCACTGCTAGCATTTTGAACAAACTGTTTCGCCCAACGTGTGTCAAGTCAGCACCAGCATATTCCAATATCCTGAAATATTATTTGTTCCATGAAACATACATCCTACATTAACCATGAAGTTCATAGGGAAATAAAACTATAAAGTTCCTATATCTTCCAGTAACCCCGATACCAAGAATAGGTAAAACTTCCAGAACAGACAATAAATAATATTATTTCTTTTCATAAAATAACAAACAAAGAGTGAAACCAGTAACTGTTTGGCTATCTCGTAGCTTTCTGGATGAACAGGAGTTGCATCCAAAGGATTGTATTCGTTTAAAAGTTTTGCTTTCTTTCTCACTGGTGCATCCAATCTTACACTGTTATACACATAAAGGAATCCAGCACACTGCTCAAAACATTTCGGACCGATTCCGCTGATACTCTAAAAGTTATGTATAAAAGTAACCATATTTAAAGTATGAAAATTTATCTGAAACAATGTTTTGTTACCTTCAATTCTTCTCTGCTCTTGATCCCCCCATTGTCTTGGCGATATTTGATTATATTAGCAGCTGTTTTCTTATTCAAACCCGATACTCTCCTCAAGAAGTTAATTTTTAAAATTGATAAACTGCTTATTGAAAGTAATATGAAACAAATTCATTGTAGAAAAATTTTTCCCGAAACATATGGCTAAAACATCGCTTACTGTAAAACTTGTAATGAGGCTACGTTCACGTCGACGCCAACATTGCTAACACATTCGCGAACAACTATATCCAACATTTCATCCAAACGTTTTTCATTTACCGAATGCTAGACATAAAATTTGTGATGTTTCAATCGGAAAAGTTTTAGTGCGGTTTTTATCTTCCTCTTACACACCACATTTTTGTGTTTGGAAAGTAAAATTTATTGTTCAGCAAACCTGATACAATCCAACACCAAGGTGTTTCGGTGCAATCTTCACATATTCCGATATAGGATCAATAATACGTCTCGCAAGTGACACTATAATACCACACCTTTATTGCAATGACATTTTTGTTTCCCTTTTTCATTTTTCTCTTTTCCTACTCTTCGTCCTTCCCTCTCTTTGAAGACATAATTTATTAACATACTCAAATCTAATTAGCTATGAAAAGAGTACCGTAATAACTAGGATCCTTATAACAAATACCAACAGTTTTTATACCCAGTTTTTTGCACTATTCCAATTGAAATTCGAAAACATCTTCCATAAATTTCGACTTATTGAACAAAATAATAAATATCATTGGTTTCGAGAAGTAACTAAAGCTTACTAATAGATCATTACCAACATAAAACAATTACTATTGTAGTTTGGATGGTAACCAAAGTCAGTAAACTAACCAGCACTTCGCAAATTAATATCAATTCCCGACAATTCTTTTGCTGCTAATTCTGTTGTGCTATAAATAGATGCACCACATTCGGAAACTACACTAAAATTAATCATAAATGATGCATGTTATTGGTAAATAATAATAATTTACAAGACATTAATGTTCAGAATATTTCAGAAATGGACAAAAAGCATTAGTACACCATGAAGTAAAACATGGAATAATTACAGCCAAATACGGAAACAACCAACCAAAATTTTGCAGCAATTACACCGCGCTGAATTAATGATGCTATGAAGATTTGCGTTTCTCGACTTGCGGTGCCATTCCCTATTGCTATCACGAAAGGAGAATCAAGCGCTTTTGATGCGAGCGTTTTCAGTAATTCTTCGGCTTGTTCATCCGGAGCCCAACGCATAGCGTCGAGTCGACGAAAGTGAAATACTGCTGTTTGTAGAAGATCACCTGAACTATATATCAATACAGGTTGATCCGTTCCTCTATTTTTCGGATAATAAAATTGTGGTCATAATGGAAATAATACTCATAATTTTGAACTTTATCGCAAATTTCATTACTTTCTGCTTGCATAAATAGATATACAGAAAGATACCGTTATCATTAACTAGTGCACATTTGCATCCATTCGAATATCCAGGGTCAATTGCAAGCACTGCGTAACCTTTCAGAGGAGCTGTAAGCAGCAATTCGCGAAGATTTTTGGCAAAACAATCGATTGCCGAATTTTCCGCTTGATCAAGTAATTTCTTTCTAAAAATTATAAAACAAATGAGTGAAATGACTAAACAGAAAATGATAGTAATATATATAAGCAATCATTTACAAGTTTATTTCCAGGTAGATAATGCATTTTAATTTACCGAACTTTGCGTTCAATCGAAGGTATAAGGAAACGTTTCGTAGAATCCTGGACAGCTTTTTTCAGCAAATCTACATGGTTAGGATGAAATTTGAGTTTTAAGCCTGGATGAATGCTTGAAATACTATCATCCACAACTATTTTCCAGTTTATGATTTCTTTCGATGAAGCTCGTTCCAGAGCTAAAATCTACAAAAATGAAGGATAACAACAGAGGAAAAATTCAAACGTGCATATTCTAAGCCTCCAAAAATTTACTTCATTTCTAATACAGTTTGCTGAAATGCAGCAATATGCAAAATAGCAACATCAACAAAATTTTAAATTCAGTGCATCCACTAATCACGTATAAAATCAACAAAATTTTAAATTCAGTGCATCCACTAATCACGTGTAAAAAGTAGTGTAACTAAGTAATTGAAGATTCTCCTGTAATTAGCTACTTAGTTTTCCGAAAGAACAGGGGAACGAAAGATGGTGGAGATCAATTGTTAGCTATTTTACATAGCAGGATTTAGCGCAGAAAATATTAAACACCCAGCACCTTAAGAGGAAAAAAACAAGATTTCACCTGAAAAGGCTGAACAAATCGAACATCTTTTTCAAAATTTAGATATAATTTGAAATGGTCGAGTAAAGAAAAATTCTTGTCTGTTTCTTTTAAAGCTTTTGCTTTTCTCGTAAGCGTCGATTTCACCTTCAAACGAACATTCAAATGATTATTCAGTTCGGCTCTGAAAATCACCTTAAAAATTAAATAGGTGATATGTGTTCGGTCATTTCCATCTTATAAAATGACGTCTAATTTAATTATCGTACATGGCCGTTGGCATATATCATAAAAATATATAGCCAATGGCATATATTGCGTCTTTTTCTTTCCATTAGCAGTGCTGACCATCTTCCAATGTAACATGTTGCAATCTGTGTATCACTATATCTGCTATATCCTGCACTGTATCCGCAGCATATTCAAAGGAACAATATGATTCAGCATGCCGTGGAGTATTTTGAAAAGTGAAACATACAAAAATCAAGTTATATCCATAAAAAGTATTACCCTCGACATGCAAGTTACCAATAAAAGAAGTAGAACTTCCATCATCAGTCAATTCACTATTTGCTATGATTGGTAAAATAAGACTGGTACTCAATCAATAGCCGCCACCAAAAGTTTGGTGCCAAAGTATTAAATATTTCAAACTTCAAAATTTATAATGAATTTACAGTTATATCACACAAATGCGGATAATTAGAAATAATGAAATATGTGGACCTACAATTTTTGCAACAAATTTTGCGTTTCCTCTAAGCGATGTAAATCATGAGACAACAGATGAACTGTCTCCTCCTCCACTTTTGTCAGTACACTTAGTTCTAAATGACAATATTTTTAAGGACTATTAATTAAACAATAACTCATTGAAATTGAAGGGAAGGATTAGAAGTTATTTTTCCTTTTTCCATCTTTAAGTACTATAAGATGATAGTCTTTTTTTTACTTGAAACGAGTTAGAAACTTTTAGTTGAAAATAAATTAGAATAATAAAATCTCCCAAACATAATACCAATGTGAAGCTAGCTTGTTACTTAATGTAATTCTCATTCTCTATTTATCGAGAGGAAAAAAAAAAGACTGTAAAAGCTTTTTTAAACTTCCAGTAACTTCATTGCAATCAACAAAGGTAAGGAAATTTGATGAAATACTTCACAAATACCTGGTTTAGAGCCAACAAAACGCTGTAAATCAACATATTCGCTACGACAAAGCCTTTGACAAATCTCACCAACACCCAGTTCCCTGCAGACATCTTATATTTTACACATCACTGATGCCTGAATATAAGCTGGTAAGAATGAGTAAGCGAAATTCGCTTCGTTTTTTTTTTTTTTCGATCCGTTCATTCAGTTGAATGTTATGAAATAGAAAATTACAAATTCTGTAAAAAACGTTTTGAAAACATACGCCGCTCTTGAAGCCAAAGAACCTTTCTTGGCTTTTTTGAAGGGTTCAAATAAACTATCCAATTCACCAGCATCCATCGTTTTTGAAAGAGCATCCTTCACCGATTCCTTCAAGGCACCATTTTCAATTTCAGCGTCAGCACGTTTTAAAAGTTTTTCCGCTTTAGCTTTGATGGCTCTAAAATGCTGATACACACTTGACCGACAAAATCGAGATAGAGACTAAAAGTTAGCATTCAGCTTGATTATTCGAAAGATATATTATGATAAACATGCTTTGCATTCTTGAAAGTTTCCACTGCATGGCGTAAATCATCAGGCGTTGCATCACCAATTAAATGCCGTCGATAACGAGCAATAAATGGTACCTCACATCCATCTTCAAATAACTGGACCAATGATCGTGCGACATTCGTGGGAAATCCCATCTTAAAATCCAGTTTTCATATAACCTTAACAAAACTAATCCATCTTCTAGAAACTAAATTTTCAACACTGAGTTTATTTACCATAAGGTGGTTTTGAATGCATGGAAAAAAAATTTTAATTAAACTGATTAAATAATTCTACGAATACTTTTGGTAATATGAAATAAGCTAGAAATAAATGCACTGATCTCCTTTGGAGGTTAACAATATCAGTCGCATACCTCTAACGCAATAAATTCATCGACAGTCCACTGTACGAAAGACATTTTAGCGTAACTCTTTGTTAGAAATGTGTTCTGAAACTGCTTTTAAATATATTATTTCAACACCTGTCTTAAAACTGCAAGATCTCGTTCTCAGTGACAGCAAAAATATCTCAGAAATGTTATCCTAACATTGAAATTCAAATCCAAACCATGTAAGACATGCTATTTTTTGTTAGAAGGTCCAATATTCCACAACTGACAAAAAGATACATCCACATAAGTTAGGAAAAGTGTAATAAGTGATAAGGGATACGAAAAAGAACCATAGCCGTAATTTTATCGATGACATAGCCGTATTTTCTGCAGTTATTTCGTTTTATGGAATGCGAATTTCAACAGTAAGAATTTTGAAACTTCGAAACACTAGATCTCGATTTGATCGTCACATTTGGTAACGTGAGAATGAAGTATTCTAGAAGATATACCGGGTGAAGAAATGATCAAAAACTGTTATATGAAAATAGGAATGTCAATTTATTCGGAATTAAATGCATTGAAATGAATTGAGCAATGTCGATTCGTGGAATAACATAAATACAGTTTCATAGAAATAAATTATCGTCATACATATGTACACAGCACAGTAACCTATTGAAGTTTAAATTACCTATCAATAAATGATTTCTCAAGGAAATTTCATTTCCTGTTCGGCTTTCGATGTAGGAAAAAAATTTAGCAGACCTCTTTCACGACCACAGCTATCACAAAAAAAAAGACTAAAAAGTGGTTTAATTCAGGAATCCAGAACTATACTATCCATAAAATGATTACAATACCTGTTAGCCAGTGCATCTCTTATAAATCCACTAAGTCAAAAACTGTGAAATTTGCTGAAAGAATTACCGATTTGACACATTTACAGAGCCATAAAAGAATTAGTGATCTAACATGTTTACATAGCCGAGGTTACGGTGTGCAGCGCGCTGCGCATTGTACGCTGCACGCCAGCGAAGACTCCGGTCTTGAACGAAATTACCATTATTCCAGTATTTTTCCGCGTTACGAAACCATGCATTCAGGAATGTTTCTGGAAATACGAGAGGCTGCCCAGCCTTTGCATCAGGAAAACACTGATTAGGAAGAATTAATCCAAATATAAAAATGGTAATACTTTGTATTAACTTGTGAATGCTTGTTGCTTAAACGAAGACGCCAGACTGCCGAAGAACGCTATATTTTGATCTACCTCAGCGCAGACGAAACGACAGATATGATATTCAAGAATTACCGTTATTTGCAAGATTAAATCGGTCTTTATCAGATGAAGACTGTAGACGACGAGGATTTAGTGCGTTATTTTTCAATGTGGGTATTGTTAGATGGTTATTCTGAAAATATATCGATCACAAGCCAGCAACAAGAAAAAAAATCACTCCCTTCAGGCAAAGAAAGAGTGTCCACCTTATATTTACAGAAGAAAACATTCATGATTTTTGCAAAGAGACAATTTTCAAGAGGTGTTAAACTCGCCATATGGGTTTCAACTGGGCCTTCTTTGATCGGTGATGTAATCACATCAATGATGCGATTATTGATAGGTCCACCTCCTCTTAATCTCTTCTGAAAAAAAAGATAACCTAGACAGATTAAAGGAAAGATAATTTAGGATTCGAGAAAACAACTTGTACATTCGAGAAAACTACTTATGCAGTGCAGTCCTGTTTTTTTATGTGTTAACTACGCTCCAATGAACTTTTAGATCACTAGTCTTGGAAGTAATTCCTCCCCCACAATGAACTGAAAATACATCAATCCATCCCAATAACATATTTAGCTTGACATCAGAAATCTTTCACAATGGATGAACTTTCGACGTGCCTTATTTCACCATTTCCGTCATCTTTATATTAATGCTGCCATTTATTACCTAGCTGTTAACTATCCTATTTTGAAATATTACCAGTTGGGACTTTTGTGTTGATCGGTACAACTGATTTCCTTATAACTTAAGATCATTTAGATCTCCTAAAAAATTAAATACGCAGACAAAACAAAACAGCACTTACAGTTTCTGTTTCATATGACTCTTCTTCCACGGAGTTCGTCAGCATGTTGGCAATGTTAGCACGTAATGTGATGCAGTCAGACTAAAAATTATTTATTGGACACCAGCTGACCATACCAATCACTGACTTGTTATGTTTAATCAACCTGTTCATTAAAATGCTAATAGTTATCACTATATAAAACAGAGAGTAAAAGACCTACATTGTATTTTCCAACGGCAGCAAATTGTTCTCCCCACATCATATCTAAAAACGACCATCAAATAGAGGATTTGAGATAGGATGAGCAAACATTTTCATAAATTTTTGTACTTCAGAAAAAAGGAATACTTTTCCGGTCAGCCTAGAAAATAGAAAACCAATGCTGGAAATCGAGCTTTTGATTGAAATGTATCGATTTTCAGGATCCGAAGCATTCAAAAATCAACGAAATAATATAAGTTCTAATGACTAGGAATTATTAATAAAAGTGTAATGTGCACAAAATCAGGGGACGAAGCAACACAACCGATCCATTAGTTAAATATTATACGATTACATGAAAATTTTGAAAATCAGAAGGGAAAACATACTGGAAGAACAGTTTTTATGTTCTCCGCCACTTGCAGGAACACATTGTCTCACATTTCCACCACCATCCTAAAATTTCGCTTAAATGTTTCCTGTGTGTCGAGAAAAGGACAGCATCAAATCAAAAATAATACATACACATTAAATTTATCAGCAATGGACGAAACAGTGCCTCATAAACAACTCGTTTCCGTAAAAAGGGTTTCTTTTCTGAATATATCAGCAAAACGAGCAACCTATGATACACTGCTTAATTAAATTTCAAGTCAAACATGAAGACGCAAAAAAGATTACCAAGCATATGCGTTTTCCATATTCCATCTCGAAATCCTGAAATAATTAAAGCACATAACAAATATATTACGATTAGAGTGAGTCATTATAAACAAGAAGTTACCCGCAGCAATACAAAATATATATATTTCTTTTTTCTGAACTTTTCTGACTCCTTCATAACAACCCAAATGTGCACATAGATATAATCAAACCTTACCTCATTGAGGCGTTCACAAATTGCTATGTTACTTTCATCTTCCAATTCCACAACTGGTGATGAAATATATGAGTTTCCAAAATCTCTCTGTAATGTTTCAAGTGCCAATTCACGCTTGTTTGATGCATTACAGTACTTCTCCGCAATGCGATCAATGTTAAACTGATATCGAGATCTAGACTTCGCAAATTGATTTTCTAATCCTTTATACATCCTTAAAATCACTGAAATGTTGCAACCATGCAGTAAACCATGCTGTAGAAATAAACAATAGAACCGTCAACTTATCATCCTCATTAGGTAATCTATATTTATGACAATTTTTTTAGATTAATTTTTAAAGTTAACTAAAAGCAAGAGTTTCCTATTTCAGCGCATGGCGATCTTCATTAATCCTAATTTCTATCGACTTCTGTTATCTCTTCAGCCATAGCACACTTTTTCCCTAACCTTAAACACTGTTGCAGTGGTAAACTGCGACTATTTTTCTCATCCCTTTTTTTCTTTGTTACCACTATGTAATTTGCTAATCGTAAGAGGCTCTGCTGTATCTCACCCTAAGCTACTATTAATTTGATTCCAATCTCGAACTTCAGTTTTTCCCTTTTGGTCTTTACCGTTTTCAAACCTATTTTTTCCTTTATCTCATATTTGTAGCAATCAAGAAACAATCTCAAAACAGATAAATGTATGTTTAGATGCTTATTTGCTTTGTAGTGACTTAATATTTCTCTTCATCTTAACAGGACAGTGTCATTATATTATAATAATAGAACCTGTAACATCGATCTATTACGACATTTCACAGGCCAAGACGTAGTCAGATCTTCCACACGTTCGACCTCCTCCACCTAATGCCGATTCCCGTACCATCCCCGCCTATATGGCATTTTAAAAACCATTTAAATGCGGCCAGTACTACCAGATGAGGAGCGTAATGAAACGATTGTAAATTGAAACGAAGATATTCTTGTTGTACAGTGATGAACTTGACTGTATTTCCAGGACGTTGCTAGCATCCCTGATAGTTTAGATCACAGGAACTTCTTTTCACTCATTTATTCATATCATACCCTTGCCAACCTAGCCAATGTATGTAATGGTCAATATACTTCTGTGGAATTTTATTTTCCACGGGATGGTGTGTAATCAAATGCGAATAACGAGTAAATTTTAACTAACTTCCTCAAATATAGAATTCTCCTAAAAGCGGAAAAGAACATCTTTTTTTTTCCTCATTTATTACCATTTTGGAATATTGTGGTGCTATGCGTGATCATTTTATGGTTACATGTTGAATTTCAAGCTTTTTTGATGAAAATTTAAAACGAATGGAAATATGAACTGGTTTTAGACGTTGTGACTGTGGGTAATAAGTCGTGGTTATACTGACTGTGAGAGGCATGTCATTCAAAATCGGAGTAAGGGTTGAAACAGGTAAGCTTTTTCCTAAACATTGTTGAGCAGAATAATGTAATAACTTGTACCCTAATATATTTAGAGCATACCAAATGCTTGAAACGACCGCGCAGTGATCAGCAGTTGTGAAAGTTGTAATGCTACCAGTCATAATCACTCAATTTATAGTTATTATTATGAATATAATTGTCTTTTTTTTTCGTTCGAAATTGGATCGAAACATTTTTCCACTTGAAAGTTATCAAATGTGGTGTGTTAGCTATATGAGTAGCGGGGAACATATAGCACGAAACGAAAGTAGTAGATTTTGATGTTCCTTGACTTAATATTTAACCTAGCTCTGCTTTCTGTGTTTTTGCCTAATTGTGACACTAACTTTATAGAAGATTGACACAACATATGAATTCTACTAATGGATTCGAAGTTGTTCGGACAATTTATGTCAAACAGTAGAACATTTCCATTTGTTCTTATGTATATGTTATCGAGAAATCAAAGTTTAATTTTTAGAAAAAGGACGAGGAGTGGTAGAATTCTGTGGTGAAACCGAATTTGCGGAAGGTATTTGGGTAGGTATAAATTTGGATGAACCTAATGGGAAACATGATGGTACAGTGAAAGGAATGCAGTATTTTGAGTGTGAACCGAATCATGGCATCTTTTTGAAAGCAAGCCAGGTCACTTGCTTTTATCAATTTCATTAGTTTCCTCTTATGGCTACCATGGTTGTCATCCATAGTTTTTGTATGTCAGAAAGTAAAATTGCTGAACTACACCAGATGAATTTCCTTGATATTATGATACTCACTGGATAATACTTTAGGTGCGTCTAGAGTCTCGAGGCAAATCTGGCATGCGTTTACCCACCACTATTCGAAAAAATGTAAGAAGCAAGATTTCGCCGACTGCAGGTTTTAAAAAAAAATTAATATAGCATTTATTTTGAAATAGATTGGGATTTACGAATTACTTTTGCTCTAATTTCCAGAGCTCTCCTAGAATGACACCTTCCTCTTCTACTGAAAGACTGAAAACTGCGAGTGGAACAGTGAGCGCATCTGCAAAGAAGCTTTACCCTAAAGAAGACAGGAAAGGAAGTACAGGAAGACTTGGTAGTCAGTCTCCCTTGCAAACCGCGGAGGTTTCTTTTTCCAAAATTATCATTGAGTGAAAATTTAAGTTTCTGAAGTCTTAGTACATCACAGTATTGTTGACTGATTGCAGGAACATCCTTATTCATCTCAGAAGTCTCATATCAGTGAGACCAGTTACAAATCGGGCGGAACTCCGAAGAAGAGTTCCATTGCAAGCAAATTAGGAAGTGTATCAACTGCTACCAATGTGGAGGAAATGGAAACAGCTGAGACTGTGAAAAGCATTGTCAAGAAGATGGAAGAGGTTTCAGTCATGTTTTGTGGCATATTGTATGATTTCATTTTAAAATCTTCCTTAGTTTGTTTAAATATTCAAACCATGTTCGACTTTATAAACAAAAAAGTTTGGGCTGAAAGCATGTTTAAGAAATATTGATTAAATAGAATAAACCTTTGGTAATGAATCAATATTAGTTAGCATGTAAAATCTAACGGTGAATAATAGAAATAGAACCAATAATGGGTTTATATTTCTTCTATTGCTTGATGTAAATTTCATGTTCAGCCAGTTTTAGCACAAAAATATAAATAATCGGTAGAATGCTGATTATCTGTGTTATTTCAGTCATCTTTGTCAGTCCCACTGCCTCCTGATATGGATGAACGCAGCGAACTCGGATGGCTTCGTATACAGCATAAGGATTTGTCTGAAAAACTGGAAAGTTTAAGGTGATCTTTTTTATTATTTCAACATCAGTTATGTCGTTCAGTGATTTCATTTTTTTAGAATTAAAAGGAAAGAAGACCACATTAAATTGGTTGAATTTGAAAGAAATCGAATACAGCTAGAATCGTTGCTTCAATTCAGAGCCAAAATACTTGAAGAGCAAACTAGTTTGCAACGAAAACTGCAAGAGAAGGAAAAGGTAACACAATTTTACTTTTGATTTAGTTGTGTCTTCTCGTTGGCCAGGTGCTGGGTGTTAGTGAACCAATCAGAAGAGTCTTGATTTTTTTTTCTTAGAAAAACAACTATACTTACGATACGTTGAGCAGTGAAATTGCAGGAATTAAGAGATGCACTCGAATCGAAAGGAAATGAAAATGACAGCCTTACAGAAGTTGAGGAGCGTCTTGAATTAGTAACGATCGAAAAGGAAATGGCTGAAGAAAAGGTCGACATATTGCAGGTAAACCTCTCAAGCATACTCATGAAACATATATTTCCGCCAGCAGTTGAAATGAGCTTTTTAATATAACCGTGCACGATTTATTGCTTAGACGGAAATTGAAGCGGAAAAGCAACGAGTGCAGGAACTAGAAGTGGAATTGGAATTATTGCGCAACGAGATGGAGCAATCAGGCGACAGTTCATTTCAGGCATGTTTGGATCACAGACTTCATTGTAATTAGGCTTTGAAAAATAATCAGTATTGGCAGATTTCTTATAGTGTATTCCCTAGAAAGATGGAGAAAAGGAAATAAAACATTTTGAAAATCTTCAGTATAACAGCGTGCAGATGAAACAACTTGAACAACAGAATGAAAAGCTTCGTGAGGCGTTAGTAAGGTATTGATATTTATTTTCTGAATCTTTTCTTATGAAGCGCCCAAGCACTGATCAAATATTGTTTAAGGAGAGTGCGCAATTTCATTTTCTTTCTAGGATGCGAGATGCTACAGGGCAAATGGTAATTGACAAGCAGGAATTAATGAGCGAAAATGAAAGGTTGAAAGATGAATTGGCGTCACTGACAAAGATGTGTGAAAAAATGAAGAAGGATTCGGATGCATATGAAAATATTATTGCAGAGTTAAGAGAACGGGTCAGTGACTTCACGTTTTGAATCATCCGAAATCGAGCATGCTTGATAGTGCTAATATGCAGAAATAGGCTGATCTTGTTGGCTCTAAGTGCTTTAATTATTCACTGCCTCCATTCTCAGAATGCAACCTGCATAACCGCAGAGTTAAGAAAATAGCTTGTCCTTATTTATCTTTATCATTATAAGATACATCAGTTTTTCGTCATAAGTTATTAATTTTTAAATGAATTTCTGTAGCTGCGAGTATTTAAGGCAAGTTTAATTATTGTAGCTCTTGAAGAGATATATTGTGATTTGTACGTTTTTGGCTACCGTTTCTTTTGATTTTATACGTTTTGGCTACAAACACAGAATCCATTGTGCTTAGTTAATCATATGTTAGGATGAAGCCATTTTTTTCCTACTTATTCGATTGGATACCAAGTTTATGGACCGTTTCCGATCGGTCGAATCAGACATTGAACTTTTCGATACTATTTTCAAATTTTCTTTAAATATGAATCCTTAATCGCCTTTACAATTTAAAATTCTATATCTTTAGTGTTTAAATTGTTTTTCAAACTTAACTTGGGCTTGCTTTGCATGACATTTTGTTGTCAGCAAATGAAACCAAAAAAACAAAGTAGTATTGCTTTACAGGTGGATATAGCTATGGGAAGTGAAAAAATGATAGAAGCATTGACGGACAGGAATTTGGATCTGGAAGAGAAAGTCAGGTAATGTTCGATTTCATAGTAAAAACAGTAGTAACTTAAGTTTTATTCCTTCCGATGCTGTGTCAGTCTTTTTATTTCACTTTTGTTAGGATGACAGTGCTGGAATGCCTTATCTTTTCTTGTTAACTATCCTTAAAATGTATTCAGCTGTCTATCAAAGATTTACCTTGTCTTTAATCTGGGCTTATTACTTGCATGCTTTTGAATTGTACTTTTTACAGGGCTTTGGAGGAAACGATTGATGATTTTGAAACTATGCGTGCAATGGATGAGGAAATTTTAGAGACTCAAAAAGATTCTGAAAAGGAGTTGAGAGAGGAGCTTGATAAAGCATATGGGAAGATCAGTGAGGTAATGAAAGTATTTCGTAGGAGGTTGTCTTGGATGTGGATTTTTAGCTATTGATTAGAAAATATGGACAAATTTTTCAGTTGTTGCTACAAATCAAGGCATGTGGTGCACAAGCAGAAGATTATGAGAAAACGATTCTCATGTTTCGCAAGAAAGTTAGCGATCTAAATGAAGAAATCCAGGAACGTTATGATGAGGTAAACGAACTGTCGTTCTTTTCTCGTTATTTTTCTCGTTATTTTTCAACTTTGTGATCCTGGCTCGTATAACAAAAAATATGATCGATTGACTGTTACCTCGTTTTATTTCGACACTTTAGTTTGTATAAAGTTTGTATATAAAAAATAGCATGTAATGAGCATTTGAGAACTTTTGCTTTCCGCCTCGTAACTTGCTGTTATGTTCTTGCAAATTTTGCTCAAGTTCATCTAGAACATGAAGACATCCGTATAAAGAATGTGTTGTGGTTTAGCCCAAGGAGTTAGGTAAATATACTTATTTTTTTGCATTGTTTCAGAATTTGCGTATGTTAGAACAAATAAGATCCCTTGAAAAAGGAAGCACTGTTCTTGGATTGCAAAGTACCAATTTCACCGCAACACGCACATTTTCGGAAGTAAATTTAAAGTTTTGGTCAATCCTTTATTGTTGTGTTATATGCTCCAAAAAAAGATCTTGGACGAATGAAGAACTGAACTGCTATTCGAACCCTCTGTGTATGAATATAACTTTGAATGATTTTTGTTCTGTTGTTTTCATCGCTTTAGATTGTGGATGCTGAGGTGCGATTGTTGGAATTGGAATTTGCACATCAGTTTAATAAATATCTGAAACTCTTCATGCCCGATAATTTTACGAAATCAGGGGGTCAGTTTTTAATTTGTAATGTTACGCACAGTAGAAAAAAATTGCCGTAAAAAACTTTCAGTTGTGCGATTTTGACTTAGTCCAGGGGCTATCTGATCAACTTTTCCTTTAGAGTACTGTAGTCCACTTTATATTTATATGATACGAGGAATTTATAATACTGCCTACAGTCAGAATTCATTTTTAAAATTAATGGATCAATCAAGTTGTCGTTGGTAGTTTGATATTAAAGAACATCAATCTAATATAATTGTGAAACTAACAGGTGACTGTGATGCAATAATACTTAATGTCTTATTTCCACGGCTGCGTCAAAAATCAATAATCTTGGCAAAGTTGATGAGTAACAAGGTTTGTTTTCCTTCTTTTTTTTTTTTTTTTTTTTGCTCTTTCACTTGTAAAGTTTCTTGTATAGTAGCCTTCAATCTACAATTCTTCTTGTATAATAGTGTTCCATCTACAATTTATCCGGTTTTTTCAGTACCCTCCAGTACCAGGTGGTATGCGTCGTGAACATGTCACCAAATCACACAAGGCTGAGCAATGGGCACATTGTGCAAAGTTTAAATATTTACTGAATGCATTTGAATGTGTCCTACGAAAATTTGAAAGGTAAATCGATTTGAGTAGTCATTTATTTGAGTACTCACATGTAAAGAGAGAATATTTATCAGCTGCTGATAGTTGATGACGGTAAGGTTCGATTTCCATTCCGTTCTCCAGCTGGAGTTTATCTCTCATGGAAATAGGCCAGCATTTCTGTCAGATACAGTCGTTTTGCGTGTGGCTGTTCTATCTCAGAATGGTTCTTAAGCTGAAATTTCTTTTATTGCCAAACGGAATTATGTTGCTGTCCATGCATCTTAATTTTATGCGAATGTAGGAATTATTGACGTGGGTTGCTATCTGCTATTAAATCTTGATATTGAGTTTTAAATTCAAAAAATTTTGCTGCATATCCAAAGTGGGACTTTTTTTTTTAAACGTATATTCCAGTGCAATACAACGCTGCTCAATAGAAAGACTGTCACGCTTGGCACAACTTCAGTTAGAAATGGCGACACAAGAAAGAATGATCGATCAATATATTGATTTGTTGAAGACTGATCGTCTTGATGAGAACACTTCTTCAGCGAATCTTGAGAAAGGAATAACATATTTTCAGGTCATAACTTCATGTTTTTGTTGGAGCAGATTACTGTAGCACATTACTTAGTGAAAGATGAAATTATTGTGGATTAAGAGTCGGTCAGATAAAGTAAAAGTTGACATTTGTGGTTTTTTAGGAATTATTCGACAATTTGATGTAAATCAACATGGTTTCATACAAGATATGTTTTAGAAGCTCATACAATTGTTCTGACTCTAAATTTGGATGAAATGGATTTTTGTTTCAGAACGTTTTCTCAGTTCATATGGCTGCTGAAGCATATGATATGAAGCAGGCGTTTTCTGATGTCATCGCTCAACTACTCTCTGGTTTGGGTTGGATGAAAATAGATGTTGAGCGTTTCACATACTTCTTATTGGTAAGTTCGAAATTTTGAAAACAAATGAATTTCATTTCAGAAAGATTTGGATGGTAGTATTTTTTTGAGAACAGCAGTCATACTGTACGTGAAAATGAATGCAACGACTAAACTGAAAATGAGTACAGTTTAGTCGTTTTCATCATTTTTGCCCACTATTTCAATGCTACGTATCTGTTCTTCAAATCTGTGGATTTATTTTCACTCATTTTCTATGAAAGTTGAATTGCTAGACAGTCAGCATTAGACAGATTACTATTTCTTTGTTTCTTATCACGACTGCTTACGATCAATTTTGAAGATGAATGCAAGTGTTATTTCCATTGAGATTTATAGAATCAAGCATTTCTTTTCAAGCCCGGTAGTGAGGATAGTGAGATTTATGTCCTTGCTACTGCATTAATGGAATTGATCACCGAATGTGAGCAGTTAACGATTCGCTCGAGAAATCGTATTCCAGCACAAAAAGAAATGACAATAAACCAGCAGGTTTAGTTATTTTTCGAATGCGTTCTAAATTTCATCTCTTTAATCGGTCTAAATTCCGTTTAAAGCTTCTAGAAACTTTAAAAGAATTTCACGACATATTGAAGGAAAGTTTTGTTTTTCCGCCTCTTCTTTTTCTACTTCTTAATTTATTTTTCAGGTTGATGAGCAGTTATCGAATGCAATCAACACCCTTTGGAAGGTAGCGACTGTAGCGGACAATATTTGTGCTATAGCAAGTATACAGCTAAGTACACATACTGGTAAATATTTGCCTGCCGAATTATAAGTCATTCAGTTCTCAATACCAGTCATTTGTTGCATGTCAGTATTTCCAGCTATTACACGTTCAATACGGGAAATAAGGTTTTCAAAAAAGAAAAAAAAACAGAAAACAAATCAAGATTTAGCAATTTTACAGATGCTGAAGGGTTGCAGAGTGACCGAATTAAAGAAATGTTGCTGGGAGTCGTTGAAAAAATGAATGGTCAAACTGATAGTGTCAAGGCACAAGAAGTTATCAAGTATGGCTTTTCAACGAGCCATTTTATAGTTAGCAGTCATGATATATGGAAAATGATCATTCCTAATTACTACAATTTTAATACACTTATACTAGTTTATCGCTATATATCTAAAATCTCAAATTTTTTATTTGCTGCAACTTTTCTTCAGGAATCATATGCTTACACTGAAATCGATTCTTGCAAAGTTAGCCGAACAACTCGACAGTGGAGATTTGGAAATAGAAACAGATAACAAAAAGTAAGTAGCATCCTAGAGTTATGATATCTCCAATTTGTCAGTAACTTAATGTTAATTAATGCATTTCTATCGTAAATTGCAATTTTTCGCTTTACACAGTTATACCAAAGCAGTTAAAACTGTTTGAATTCTACTGCTATATTCTATTTTAGATTAATTTCAGCCATTCCCACCGCTTCTGGAACGTGCTCATGTTCGGAAACAGGATGCAGTAGAAGCAGAGGGGCTTCGCTGGCAGTTGGAAAAAAGGAAAATGAAATATCTGATTTGAAGAAAACGCTTAGATCTAGAGCAGACGATATTAGCAATTACAGGGTATCCTTTCCAACACATTTTTTAATGATTTAACGAATTTCTTAGATTGCGAACGGGTGGAAAAGTGCAGTCGGGAAAAGCATTTAGAGTTATGCTCGATCCAAGTATTACTGAACTGAAGTATGATAAGTACAGATTGTTTGATTGAGAAGTCATTAACAGTCGTTTAGTAATAAATTCAAAACACATATTGAAATTTTGCAATAATATTTCGTTGCTCAAGCTTCGCTTGGAAATGGCTGATAAGAAAATGGAAACATCGGGTAAAGCGGACGAATCACGGTTGTTGAGATTGCAGTCGCGTTGCGATGAACTGCAAAATGAATTGAAGAGGAGGAGAGAGTAAGTATTGTTTTCCATATTAAATTTATTCCATGCTCGAGACTGAAAAGAAAAGCGTTCACGATTAACTTTTTATAATTCTCGTGACATGTTTTTAAAAAATTTTTTTGTTTGATTTCAGCTTGTCAGTTTTATTTTGCTTTTGGTCTTTC